GGGAGCTGGGAAGGGATGTGAAGGGTAAACAAAGGAGGAGGCTACAATGCTTGATAAGAAATGTACTCATTATCTTACCCATGTAATTGTAACCCCTCTGTACACTATTTTCACAATAAAAAATAAATAAAAATTAAAAAAAAGAAACAAAGAAAAAAAAAGAAAATATGTGAAGTTGATAATACACATTTCCTCTGTGGCAATGAAGCTAAACTAACAATGTGAGAGATCTTTTCCAAACAATACTGATTTTATATAAAGAGACTAAGGAAAGTATCAATGCAGTCTTGTTGTCAGGATTGGGCTGGAACTTCTGTGTACAAGCTAGGCTTGATCCTTCTCTCTCAGCCTCCTGAATAGCTGGGACTAAAGGCACATGGCACTATAATGGGCTTTCAACACATTTTTTTTCCCAAATAAGGCTTTTAGATAAGTTTAAAAACTACCGTTGCTAGATTTATTTGGAAAGGAAGGATATCATTATTTAATTATTTTAAAGTGGTTACTTTGATACGTTGGTTGAAGCTTGCCAGGGTGATTTACCATCTCAGAACAATTTGTCTACTTCCCTTAGAAATTAGAAATGTGTTTTGGCCAATAAATCTAAATTTATTTTGTAGTAGTCACTTTTCTTAATGGAAGTGTTTTCCAGATGTTGCCCAAGTCTAGTTGTCTGGGCCCTGTTCCAATAAATGAGGAAAGCTTGATTTCATAGGTTGTCACTGTTGATTTTGTCTAACCTTTAGACTAATTGGTTCATCCCAACCTAATTGCACTGGTATATAAGACCTCCAGGACGTTGGAGAAATTCATCTGTCCATTTGTGGGTAAGTGTCCTAGTCAATGAGCTACGTAGAATTAAATGAATTTGTATTCCTTGTGTTTATAAAAGATTTATAAGGAAAGTAATTGGAAAAAATGTTTGAGAGAATAAGATTTATGCAATACACCTGTTAAAAGCCTACAGTAAACTTATATTGAGAGTTAAAGGAAAGTTGGAACAATAATTTTGCTATGCTTCTTAAATTTTATTGCGGCTGGTTATTTTTTCCCCCGGGGCAGGATTTAAACCTTGCAGTGTAAGTACTAGTTATACTTTGAATAGAGTTTTAAGATAAATCTGTTTGCCATTTTGGAGAGTCTTCTAAAGTCTTAAATTGGTTAATAATATGAATAAGGTGATTTGATGATTGCTCTGCATAAGATTAAATATAATGGTCAAATATGTTCTCTGGAATTTGAGCTTATTACTTTTTAGTTTTGTGTCCGGAATGAAATGGTTTCAACATTATATTGAAAGTCACTGGAGCAGTGTGAATAGCACACACACATCACTCTGTGGTGAGATGAAGAAGCAGTTTTCTGATACTTTCGTTTGATTTCCAGCAAGGGTGCAGTACCTCAAGACAACCATGGCGTGGAAATTACTTCCCATTTGCTTCCTGCTGCTGCTTTCTGCTTCCTTGATTGAACAAGTTTCATCTCAAGGTACCTGAGCCACCAAACCACTTGCATTGCACAGTGATCAGCCAGTTTGGATTTTTGTAACAGGAAATAGGCTTCTAAAAATTTTCTATGTGTTTGAGTTTAATACTGTTCACTGTGGAAATGAAAATATATGTAACATACTCATAAATGATGATGAATTTTCACCTTTTCTTCCTGTATTATGAAATCTTTCCAGAAGTTTTGAGCTTTTGTGTACAACAATTTTGGTACTGTTCTATGGTTTTCCCAAAAGTTAAAAAAAATTCATATATTCCCATGATATTACATAGCTAGGGCTATGTAATATCATCAAAGTAATTGGAAAGTTATATTTAAATAGCATATTTTGGTATATATGTTTCCAAATAAATATAACTAAGCTTTCTTCTAAATAAATTATTGAGAAACAACTTATTTTGACAACAGGTAGACATAGAAATCATATTATAATGAGCATTTATAAGGTTTCAAAAAGAATTTTATTTATTTGAAGCATTCTTTTATAAGAGCTATTCTTCTGGATAGAGGCTTGCACAGATATAAAATCATCTTCTATTATGATATTGTGCTATTCACAATGTTCCCTAGAGTAGTTCTAGTTAAATAATTCTTGATTTTCATTTTTGGACAATATATATTATGTGTAACATTAAAAATACAAAAGAAGCTGGGCAGCAGGGGCTCATACCTGTAATCCTAGCTACTCAGGAGCCTGAGATCTGAGGATCACAGTTGGAAGCTAGCCCAGGCAGAAAAGTCTATGAGACTCTTAGTTCCAATTAACCACCAAAAAAGCCTAACATGGAGCTGTGGATAAAGTGGTAGCATGCTAGTCTTGAGAGAAAACAAACAAACAAAAACCCTCAAGCATAGTGCTCAGGCCCTGAGTTCAAGCCTCTAGGACCAACACAAAAAAAATGGCAAAGAAGAAATATGCTGTAAAATAGAAAAAGTGTCTCATGAGATTTAGGTTGAAATTGTCTTTTGTTATTCAAAAGGTGAATGAAGGAAAATCAAGCCTCATTGATTATTACAGAGGTTATATCACTCAAGTAGATATTTAGGATTAAAAAAAAAAGTCCCTCAAGTTATAATGAAAGTGGAACAGAGGCACAGTGGCGGATTACACAGATAAGAAAGGAGAGGAAAACACAGGAAGCAAATCTAAGTATTTAATTAGCGCGGAGGGTTATTCTTGTATCTCTAGTCCTTTCCTCGCTCCCCTAGGGTATTTTGTAACTCACAACACGGGGGATGTCCCCTAAATCATATTCTCCTCTCTGGTACAATTGCTTGTTCTCTGAAAGTTTTGCACTGCTAGCAATAAGAACAAAGCAGATTATCTATGAAAAAAGACATTTTTTCCTCAGTTTTGGAAGTTGGTGCATTTCAGAAATCTGCCAAACATAAAAGGATAAACTTTTGATGTTGTTTTGTCTGCTTCTCTTGCCTTCTCAACCTATTCATGTTCCTTTTCTTTATATATAATATATGTATCTATATACATACACTATATATGCATTTTTGTATGTATTGTGCACATATGTATGTATGTATGTATGCAAGTTTTTCTGAAAGTTATCCTGCTCTTTAATGTTTTATTTTTCATATTAAGACTTTAACTTTCCTGGATTCTCTTCTTTTGAGATTTTTTTCAGTGTATTTCAACATCCGTTTATGGATTTAGGACATTGCACCTGCCAATTTCTATTCCAGAGATGGATTCCAAGGTTACATTCCTGTGGTTATCTCTGAGGGAGGCTTTTCAGATTGTTTTCCAGAGGAGGCCTAGAAATATTTGAAGATAATTATGCCTTCACCATTGCTCATCTGCCTAGAACCCTTCAAGTTCATGACCTCCATGCCCAGATATGTTTTTGAAGGGTTCTTGAGAGTGCTATCAAGCAGGAGAGCACACAGGAAGGACTGAGCTGGCATAAGCAGCTTCCTTTAAGCTCATCACTGGGAATAAAAGGCAATGAAACTGGATAGAAAAAAAAAACCTCAGGTTTTATAATGAGGTAGATAAGAGTTCCAATTCTGGATGGGCTGCTTACTTAGAATGGTCCTATAATTTATTATCCAAATCAGGACACTTGTGTCAAGTGTAACTGGATCAGTAGAAGTAATTAATAAGTAGTAAATTGATCTGTATATCACATACAATGGAACCCGTAACTAGCTGTGTACCACTGAGCAAACTATTAAACATTTGCTTGGGTTATTTTTTAATATCTAACAAAAATGTTACTAATACTTTCCTGGAAATATCATCACAAGTAATAGAGACATTGTCTGAGTCAGTGCCTGGCACAGATGCTCAATAAATGGCACCTGGTAATCTGGTGATCAGCATAACAGCAGCAGCTGCCCCCTTCCCTCTGGGGAGGAGTTATTCATGGTAAAAAAAACAGAAAAAGGAAAAACACTGATGTTTAAAGGTGTGTTCATCTTCTCAATCTAGTGAAAAATAAAGTCAGATATTGTATTTGGCCAATTATCTGCTAGGGCAACTGTCATTCACAACATTTTCCAACCAGCAAAATTCCCCTCTTCCCTGTCAATTGGCTTCGTTGCCCCTTATTCGAGATTTCCCTTTTATCAGTAGTTTGGCCCTGCTTACAGTAGTATTGTGTGATTTTAGATTTATCAAGCTGTGCAGGGAGATGTGGGGAAGGGTATTCTAGAGATGCCACCTGCAACTGTGATTATAACTGTCAACACTACATGGAGTGCTGCCCTGACTTCAAGAAAGTCTGCACCGTAGGTAAGTCCTGAAAGCTGGTGTCAACTCTGTCAGCATCAATGTTCTGTGAGCTTCCCCGGGCTCTCCCTCCCCCGCCTTCATGCAGTACTGTTCTCCCCCTGTTTCACCTCCTTTGCTTAATACCTTTCTCTTCACTGGTGTAAATGTTGCAGTGCACTGTATCTAAGGATGGTATCAAAGCTTGTGATAATTGCGGGAGCCAGCTCTTGCCTACCTCCAAGGAAAATGTCTTGTCTAAATTGTTTAAATTGGGGAATGGATACTGTATCTGAGAAGTCATTCAGTAAAAATAATCCATAATTCTTTGCTAACAATTAGATATGTAATTGTGTAGTGATGAGGTCTTTCAAATAGTTCCAGCAAAAGGCAAGCCTGGGCTACCTGGTGAGACCCTATCTCAAAAAAAGAAAAAAAAATCATGGCCTAGAACTCTCCCGTTTGCTCTAGTACTTAAAAGATACTTTAAAGATGAGTACTTGTTTTTATGATGAATTTCAGTTAGTACCCTCAAAAGGCTGAATTTTAAGTATTTCACTTGAATATATTTTGGACCATTTTTCTATATTGACAAAGACAAATTTCACACTCATCTTTGAAAATTATAATTAAAAACTTATAAGTTATATCTGCTCTAGCATTTGCATTTAAAGATATCTAATATAGTATGGTGTAAAGTATGTGTTAAGTAAAGTAATTATTGTAAATAAACCTGGGTAAGTCACTGTCTCTTCAAACAAAGCTTATTTAGCAATGAGCAAGCCTGTCTTAAAAAAAAATTACTTGTGTGCCAGTACTCAGTGTGTATGGGTGCTATACCTTAGTTTTCTCACTCAAGGCTGGCACTCTACTTCTTCAGCCACAACTCCACTTCCGGCTTTTTGGTAGTTAATTGGAGATAAGAATCTCACAAAATTCCCTGCCTGGGCTGGTTTTGAACCACAGGCCTCAGATTTCATCCTCCTGATTAGCTAGGATGTACCAGGCATGAGCCTGGTACAAGGCTGGTTTCTTTAATCCCATCGGATTAGGTTGAATATTTTCAACTTCACACTGAGCCCACTTTGTCACAATAAAGGCCCTCTGCATTATAAATACTTTTTCTGCCTGAACAATACTCATTTGTATTAGGCAAGTTTTGGGGGGGGTTTACTGTTGTTAAGATATGAAATTCAATCATTGTAAATGACCAATGGTGTGAGGAGAGAACGGAAAGAGTTCATATGCAGGGTAATCACTATTTAGACATTTCTCCATTTTCTATTGTCCATCAGTGTAAATGAGTCAGACAACACTGGGGTTTCTGTTTCTTTCGGTATCTTAAAGGGCAAGGAATGGTTCCCTAACTCATTATAGTTCCTTGACTTGGGATATCTCTATTATGGATACCATCTTTCTTTCTTTTTTTTTTTTTTGAACCGGATCATGTTCTTCAAATTTCAAATAAAAGGCTTAGAAATTACCTTTGAAATTGTAGCCAGCTGTCAGGTGGGAAATGGCCACCAAAAATGGATGTATGGCTTCATAACCAATAATCAATCCATCTTGTTTGTTTTGCTCCGGGTAGAGCTTTCCTGTAAAGGTCGCTGCTTCGAGTCCTTTGCACGCGGAAGGGAGTGCGACTGTGACTCCCAGTGTAAGAAGTTTGGCAAGTGCTGTGCAGACTACGAGAACTTCTGTGAAGAACGTAAGCATGGCAAGATTCCCCCAGTGCTCCTCTTCACAGCCTGGTCTGTGTGCTCATTTTAACTCTGCTCATACCATCCAGCATGCGATACATCCCAAGACCTGATTGTACTAATGTAGAAGCTATTTTATAGTGTGTGTGTGTGTGTGTGTGTGTGTGTGTGTGTGTGTGCTGGTTCTGGGTCTTGAACTCAGGGTTTAGATGCTGTCCCTTAGCTTTTTCTGCTCGAGGGTGGCACTCTACCACTTGAATCCGTTCTTTTGGTGTTTAGAGATAAGAGACTCATGGGTTTTCTTGCCCCAGCTGGCCTCAAACTTGGAATCCTCAGATCTCAGACTCCTGAGTAGCTAGGATTGCTGGTGTGAGCCACTGGTGCCTGATCTATTTTATAATTTCTTTGTCATGAAGATGAATAAAAGAAAAAAGCATCTTCTAAATGTACTCTTTATCTGATCTATGTAATGAATCCCTCTATTTGCCACCTTTACAATACAACAAAAAATGCATGAGAAAAAAGTGTCTTTTAAAAGGACCAATCAGGTTCCAGGAATACAAGAGATTGCTGGTTGAGTAACAGAGAGGTCGTTCAATTTGAGGTTTAATGGATAGTAATTATCACACTTGATGTTTGTTGTCACATCCTACTAGTATTGACTCCACTAAGCTCACTGTTTTTGAGCAGTACGTGCTTTTTAAGCTCAGCATTTGAATCTATATTTAAGGCCAAATCCAACCTCTTCTTTGAATAAGTGACTTTATGAATTAGCATAAGTCAGTGAATTTACAGACAAATCTACTAAAATATTACTGTCAAGTATTTCTTCCTTCTCTTGAAGTCCTGTCTATGCAAAGCCAGTGTATGGTAAGACCCCAAAGGGATAATTTCATTTAAAATTTTTCTCTCACATAAGTCCTGAAGAAATACTCTAAGAGTCTGAACAAAACCTTCCAGATACTCAAAAAATTAAATATATTTGATTAATATTTTCTCTTACCAGTGCTTATTCTTCAATCCTACTTGGTTAAAATGAGATTGTTTCAGGGAGGTAAAAGTAAAAATAAGTATGGCTTGCATAATCTTATCATTTTAGTTACACAGGCTGAACCTCCTGCTTCTTTCAAATGACAGAGAAACAGTAGAAAACTGTTACTCAGAAGGGTTGAGGATGCTTCTTCACTGTCGATGTTTTATTGGAACGTGTTCCAAAAATAATGGAGACAACACCTTTATAATAAAAAAAAAACCCTTAGATCTCAGCATTCCTGTGGCTGACAGAAGGGGGTATACATTTTTACTCATTACTCTGATTTGGTTGTTTTTGTTTGATTTTTGGTATTATGGCCAAGACAAATTAAGTAAACCAAACTACAGTTTATTTTGTGAGAATATAGGTGGTGAGGGAAGCTGGCTAGAGCACTGAAGAGAGAACTGAAAGAATATCTTAAAGATCATATTTGATGAGGGCATAGGTAGGTCTTGCCCATAATCCAAGCTACTCAGGGCGCTGAGATCTGAGGATCTCATTTGGAAGTTAGCCCAGGAAAAAAAATTTGTGAGAAACTCTCATCTCTAACCACCAAAAGGTCAGAAATAGGGCTGTGACTCAAGTGGTGGAGTGCTAGCCATGAATGAAAAGCTAATGGATGGTGTGAGGCCCTGAATTCCAGCCCCAGGACCAGGACGCAAGCACGTGCACGCACGCGCACACACACACACACACAAGAATGGAAGGAAGAAAGAGAAATAAAGAGAGAGAGAAAGGAAAGAAGGAAGAGAGAGAGAGAGAAAGAAAGAGAAAGAAAGAGAAAGAAAGAAAGAAAGAGAAAGAAAGGAAGAAAGGAAGAAAGAAAGAAGGAAGAGAAAGAGAGAAAGCAAGCAAGCATATACTTGGGGTTTAGGGAGAATTCAGTGAAATCAATTGATGAAGGCACTAAGGTAACTTCAGTTACAGAATTTATGAGGTTTGTCACACTGTTTACCTATCTAAGCATCATAACATTGAGGAGTCACAGCAACTGTGTGTCCAAATGTGGGTGAGGAAGCAGCCTAGTAGGCTAACTGTTTGCCCCAAAGCACTAACTAGTACATGACAGAACCATCTTGGTGACACAAGGGAGCAGAGATGTTGCTAGAACAGCAGGATTCATCGCAAGTCTTTTCTACTCAGAGAGTTCTCATTGCTCTCTGTTTTCATACCTTTCAGAAATCCTCTCCTTTCTTCTAGTTCCTACTGACCCCAAATATTCCATGTCTTTTCTTCCAGACATGAAACGAAGTGAGGGATAGGGCTAAAAGAAGATACATATTAAGCCATTAAGTTGTTCTCCTTGGGAAAGGTAATACATTTTGAGGAAAAGCACGTAGGCATAGGTGTAAACATTTCAGAATATTCATATAGAACTTTTAGAATAAAAACAAAGTAAATTGGTGATTTAAATCGAATGCATGATAGGAAAAATGTACTTCTCTTGTCAAGAAATGAGGTATTCTGTCATCCACATGTATACTTTTTGTAATTGTACAAGGACATCCAATTGAATGAAGCTCATACTGTCATGTTTTGGGGCAGACAAATACTTTCAGAAATCTTGAATGATTTGAATAATAATTTGAATTTTCTCAGTTTGAAAATAAGGACATTGATTTTCAAGTGAAGTCTAGCTATTTTCACAAGATTGTAATGGTAGACACTTAGAAGCCTAAGACTGGGATTTAGGTCTTTTGATTCCTGAGACTTGGTTTGCTGTCACAAATGACCAAAATTTGTGAATCAGTATTTGATAACAATATATCCTGTTAGTTGTTTGGAGTTTCTCATGTTGGGCAAGAGCCCTCCTGCAATGGCTCTTGCCACGATCTGTTCTCAAAACCAGATGCACCCATGTTCTGAGCACTGCAATGAATATAAACTGGATGTTAACTACCTGTCTTGCTTGGCCTCAGTGCATAACCCCACATCTCCACCACCTTCAAAGACTGCACCTCCGCCTCCAGAAGCATCTCAAACCATCAAATCCACCACCAAACGCTCACCCAAATCACCAAAAAAGAAGACTAAGAAAGTTGTAGAATCAGAGGAAATAACAGAAGGTAGGAAGATGTCAGATGTAACTACAGGAGATTTCTTAGATGAAATAACCTGTAGGAGGAATACACATCTGAGTATTCTGAACGGGTAATTTATGAGTCATCTAAGGCTCATTATACATTTGTTTACTTGATTTAGGTTGAAGTTTAAACAAAGTATAAACCCTCAGGTTTTATAGTCTTTGTTACAAAAACCCAGCGTGGACTATGTTGAAGTAATCAGAAGGGAAAAATTTTAGTGCAAAAACGAAAAAAATATATGAACTCACTTTTTTTTTTCTAGAGTAGGTTCAGTGACAAATTTTGGCAAATGTTAAGAGAAAATTACCTTACTAGTCTGTGTGATAATCTCAGAAGCCTGGCCTTTTAACAGTTAATCACATTCTCAATAAGATTTAAAAAAAAGGGCACTGATATTTGTAAATGAATTACCAGTAATTCTTTGTATGTTTGGACTGGCAGGTTTTTTTTTTCTTTGCTTGCTGTTGGTGTGATGAAACTTTTTATTTGATTTATAGAACATTCTGTCTCTGAAAATCAAGAGTCCTCCTCCTCCTCTTCCTCTTCTTCTTCAAGTATTCGGAAAGTCAAGTCTTCCAAAAATTCAGCTGCTAATAGAGAATTACAGAAGAAACCCAAAGGTTTGAGCATTGATAAAGATCAAAGACTATATCAATGCCACATTAACAATAACCTTTTCAAAGTACTATGTACTGGTAGGATGATTTGAGGATAGCACAATATTTGGGGGGGGTCCATTGTAAAAATCATGTTAGGTATTGCCAAATGAATACTCCTACAGGAAATTAATGGCAAGCAGCTAAGAAACCACTCTGGAAGATGTTGTAGCAGTGATTGAAACCACCTAATGGTGACTGTGGTGTTCGATTGTGACTTTTATCTGCCTAATCATTCTGTGTCCTACCTCCCTCCTTCCATTCTGTCAACTCTCATCTTCACTTTCCAGCTTAACAATTTACATAGTGCTTTAAGTGATTTACATCTACCAATCCTTCTCAAAAACATCTATGGAAAGGCTAGATTATCCACACTTTATAGATCATCTTTATTTCCTAATAATTACTTATTACATCTGACTGACTTCTCTCTGGAAAGAACGTGCCAAGAAGTAGGCTATTGCCTTCTGAGAAGAAAGTCTTCTCTGTTCTGGTCTTTATCTTTCCCCAAATTCTAAAATGCATTCTTTTTCTCTAGGGAATACTGGAGTTTTGAAGAATTCTATTTCCTAGGTGGTTGTAGAAGCTGAAGCAGCCTCTTTAGCTAAACAGCCACATATTTAATCTTGGAATCATTCCAAGATCTTGCTCACAATCGAAGTACAATGCATGCTTGCCAAATCAAATTCATCTCAGAGCAGTGTCCTTTAGACTTTCTAGTTCATCTACTGGGTAGCTGCTCTGGGAAATCTTAAGTGAAGTTCTTTTACTGCCCAGACATCCAAATCCTCTATGCTCCCCAGAAGTGTCATTTACCTGGGCAGAGGAAAGAGAACAGCTAATAGCCCCTAGGTAAGGGAACAGGGGCAGCAAAAATCTTTTAAATATGGAGGTTGACCCGCTGAGGCTTCTTTGGTAACTGAGATTGGGACTAGACTTCCAGGAAGAAAGAGCAATGAGGAATAAGGGGAAAGGGGCAGAGAAAAATGAAGTGTAAGGAACATTAATGGAAAGAAATTAATATCATCAATCACGTTGGTAGTTTCAAAGTTGCCCCTTGCTTCCTTCTAGGTATTAATTATGCAGTGTTTTACTTGATTGATTTATTCCTTGTCTCATTCATTCATTCTCAAAAGCAGTCCCCCAAAAGATAGCTTAAGTATGTACCATTTTAAGATAAATTAATGGACATATTCAAGATTAGGAATTTGCCTAGAGACACACAACTACTCAGTGAAAAGGATGAAATCTTCGGGTCAGTGTTAAAGGCAAGAATTATCAAAGAAATTTAACAGTATTTATTTTTTTCTCCCTAGCAAAAGACAAGAAAAGTCCTAAAAAAACCCCTAAGCCAGAACCACCAGTGGTAGATGATGCTGGAAGTGGACTGGACAATGGGGATTCCAAGCCCACCCCAACTCCCGCCGTTACTACTACCCCAGTGAAACCAGCAAATCCTAAACCCAGTCTTCCACCGAAGTCTGACGTACCCAAAGAGGCATCTTCCACAAACAATAAAGAGACAACAGTTACAACTAAAGAGAGTACGGCCACAAACAAACAGACTTCTACCAGTGCAAAAGAGAAGACTACTTCAGCTAAAGAGACACGAAGTGCAGAGAAATCATCTGAAGTTCCTGCGAAGCCTACACCCAAAGCTGAAATGACAACCAAAGCCCCTGCTCTGCCCGCCACCACCAAGGAGCCTGTACCCACTACCACCAAAGAACCAGCTCCAACTACCCCCAAGGAGCCTGCACCCACTACCACCAAAGAACCAGCACCACCCCTAAAGAGCCTGCACCCACTACCACCAAAGAGCCAGCACCCACCACCCCTAAAGAGCCTGCACCCACTACCAAGGAACCAGCTCCCACCACTGCTAAAGAGCCTGCACCCACTACCAAGGAACCAGCTCCCACCACTGCTAAAGAGCCTGCACCCACTACCACCAAAGAACCAGCACCCACTACCCCTAAAGAGCCTGCACCCACTACCACCAAAGAACCAGCACCTACCACCCCTAAAGAGCCTGCACCCACTACCACCAAAGAACCAGCACCTACCACCCCCAAGGAGCCTGCACCCACTACCACCAAGGAACCAGCACCCACCACCCCTAAAGAGCCTGCACCCACTACCACCAAAGAACCAGCACCTACCACCCCTAAAGAGCCTGCACCCACTACCACCAAAGAACCAGCACCCACCACCCCTAAAGAGCCTGCACCCACTACCACCAAGAAACCAGCACCCACCACCCCTAAAGAGCCTGCACCCACTACCACCAAAGAACCAGCACCTACCACTCCTAAAGAGCCTGCACCCACTACCACCAAAGAGCCCATATCTACCACCACCAGGGAACCTGTGCCCACCATCCCTGAAGAGCCTGCACCCACAACCCCTGACAAGCCTGTCCCTACCACCCCTGAGAAGCTGGCACCTACCACTCCGGAGAAGCCTGTATCCACCCCCACCCCCACTACTCCCAAGAAACCTGTACCCACCACCCCTGGGAAACCGGCTCCAAGTTCTCCTAAGACACCAGCCCCAACCACCACCACAGAGCCTTCTACTACTCAGAAAAATCCCGAAGCAACTCCTGAATTTCCTGCAGATCCCACACCGAAGGCTCCTGACAATAGTCCCAAAGAGCCTGCAGTATTAACAACGAAATCTCCTGAGATGACAACAGTAGGTAAAGACAAGACAACAGAAAAAGACATACAGACCACCCCTGCTACACCTAAGATGACAACTAAAGAGACAACCACAGAAGAAAAAACTACGGAATCCAAAACAACAAGCACAACCATGCAGGTAAAACCCACCGCTCCTCAAGATGCATCAGTGAAAGTTACTACTCTTAAACCCAAAGTAACTACTGCAGCTGAAGAGACCATGAACAACCCTGAAGAAACAACTCCAGGATCAGAAGAGACAACTACTAATGCTAAGACAACTCCCAAACCCCAGAAACCAACAAAAGCGCCCAAGAAGCCTAAAAAGCCAGCCAAAGCACCCAAAAAGCCCACTTCTACCAAAAAGCCTAGCACTCAAGTGAAGAAACCCAAGACGACACCAACTCCCCCAAAGATGACTTCAACGGTGTCTGAACTGAACCCTACCTCTGTAGCAGAAACCATGCTCCAAACCAGTCCTAGCCAAACTCCAAACTCAGACATGGCTGGCGTAAATCCAAACAACGAAGACACTGATGGTGATGGTGTGGAAGCTGGAAATCCTCACCTGATTCCCAGTCCCCCTGTGCTAGCTCCTCTAGTCATTCCAGGCACTGATCACTTAGTGAGAGGTCCCAATCAAGACATTTACATCAATTCCATGACTTCAGGTAATGAGAATTAATCATTGTTATTTTTCAAATTGGCAATTGCTGAGCATGGTGATGCACACCTGTAATCCCTACTTGAGATTGTTGAGTTTAACTCGTCTCAACTACACAGCAGGTTCTAGGACAGTTTGGGCTACATAGTGACACTGTTTTCAACATTAAACAAAAAGCCAACAAATAGAGGGGGGGGAAACCCAACCAAAATTAGGTTAATTTGTATCTGAAGCAAGTGTCCTTGTTTGGTATCACTGTAGAGATACATCATCTAGATTTCTAACGTTATTTTCTGAAGTTTAACATTTCCCTGTTAGCATAGGAGTAATCACAGTAAATCTATTTAGTCTTTAGAAAATTCAGTCAAAAGCTAGCATGTGTAATAAACAGATGGCATATAGAATGTAAAAATTCAGTTAGGAGTCTATCCTTAATAATATCCTTTTCCAAACCAACTCAAAAGCTAAGACAGACATGGGTTCAAATATCTCCCATGAATGAATGCTTAAATTATGTGAAGAGTAAGATATTCTGGCCCATTAGAATTTACAATTATTTTTATTGTGATACTTTTGAATAGTATCACATTTAGGTATGACAGAATAATGAAATCACTTTCCTTTCATTTCTGAAATTCCACAACTGTCCTTCAAGAGCTTAAAAGTGTTAATAAGAAAGAATATACTTTTCTCTCTCTCTTTGGTATTAATCCATTGTTAATTTGTTTTAGATGAGACCAATTTATGTAATGGTAAGCCAGTAGATGGACTGACTACTTTGCGCAATGGGACATTAGTTGCATTTAGAGGTGAGTTATGCACACACTTCTACTACTTTGTTTTGGTATTTATGTAAACAAAATTCATTGGAAAGTGCTAGTTTAGTTGCGTGTTGTAGAAAGGAATCTGAATGGTAAATCTACCTCAGCTGAGAATCTGCCAGCAATATTAGATAAACAAAATTAGACACAAATATAGCAAACAAAATAGACCCTAAGCTGTATTTTTTTGTTTCCATTTAAAAGGTAGTGTAGTGTGCATTTCAATTCCACAAGTGGAATGACATCAAGATTTGTAAGCCTGCCCTAATTTTCTTTGCAAATAACATCTCAATAGTGACAAGTACAAGTGTTAATACTCTGTGACAGGCAACCATTGGTTATTTCATGCCAATTCTGTGGACCCTGATAGTCTTCTTAGAACATATTTAAAGAAACAAAACATACACACAGTAAAAGTTCACAAGATTTTAGTAGTCTTTAAGTCATAACCCTTTAATTCCAAAACATAAGGATGTGGAAATTGAGAGATAAGTGACTACAAAGATAATGCAGAGATAAGCTACAAAGCCAAAAGGTTTTCAAGCAAAACTAAGCAGCTAAAATATTTCAAAGATTTGCTACATTTCAGACTAAAGAAATATCTACTAAATATTCAAATAATCCCTTTTGGCCATACTTCATCAATACTTTTTTCTTTATAATAACCATAAAAGTTGTCTTCACCTTGATTTGATGATAGGTTTGAGTATTCAGTATTCAGGCTGACATGTCTTATTAAATTTTAGGTCATTATTTCTGGATGCTCAATCCGTTCAGGCCACCATCCCCACCTCGCAGAATCACTGAAGTTTGGGGTATTCCCTCCCCCATTGACACTGTTTTTACTAGATGCAACTGTGAAGGAAAAACTTTCTTCTTTAAGGTAACAAAAACCATTATGAGAAACCATCTTATAGTCATTGTAGTTTATTACAAATCTTAACCTCCAATCCTGACGTGTCTTCATATTTTAACAAACTGTTCTACCATTAAATAACTTCAATGGTCTACTTATTCAAACATTTAAATTTGGAGTTCCCAAGCTTATTTTCCCCAAGCTGTTCACATAATTTTCCTTTTTATTACCAGGATTCTCAGTACTGGCGTTTCACTAATGACATAAAAGATGAAGGGTATCCCAAACCAATTGTGAAAGGATTTGGAGGACTAACTGGGAAAATAGTAGCAGCTCTTTCTGTAGCTAAGTACAAGAACAGGCCTGAATCTGTGTATTTTTTCAAGAGAGGTATGTGTTATGTACTTGACAAAATTCTAAGACTTGGTTTCTAGTCAATATTTTACCATTCAGTTTACTGTAAAAAATATCTTTAATGGCTGGAATCAAATGTTTGCAATGAAGAAAACAAAAATGGAGGGCACCTAAGAGGTCGACAGGCATGTCAGTTTGTCGTGGTTTTCAGGTCATTTATATAGAAGTATGCAATTTGTTAGTTATTTAACGTTTATTATCTTGGTAGGTCTTTATGAAAGATACAAAAGCAATTATTTATTTCCTTCATATTGTAAATGTTCTTTTAGTTTTTCTAGGATTAACATCACTTTTTATATTCTATGTGATTTTCTAATATATAACAGGGGGCAACATTCAGCAATACACTTATAAACAGGAACCTACCCAAAAATGCTCTGGAAGAAGACCTACTATAAATTATTCAGTCTATGGAGGAGCAGCACAGGTTAGGAGACGTCGCTTTGAACGGGCTATTGGACCTGCTCAGACACACACCATCAGAATTCACCTTTCACCTGTCAGAGTTTCTTACCAAGATAAAGGTAAATCATGTTTAAAATTCCTACCCATGAAAACAGTTGTAATTGTTTCTTAAAAACTAAGCTGGGCACTGGTGGCTCAAGCCTGTTATCCTAGCTACTCAGGAGGCTGATTGTGGTTCAAAGCCAGCCCAGATAAGAAAGTCTGTGATACTCTTATCTCCAATTAGCCACCAGAAAACTGGAAATGGAGTTGTGGCTCATAGTGTTAAGAGTGCTAGCTTTGAGCAAAAAAGAGCTCAGAGACAGCACCGAGGCTCAAAACAAATAAAAACAAAATAACAAAACCAAAAAACCTTATTAAATACAAATACTGACCAAATATTTTTAATAATTTACATATCAGTTTGTTTTATTAACCAAGTATCAATTCTGTCTTTTCCTCTGTGGACAAAGCAGTTTATTCAAATTTGTTAATTATAATAAGTACTATTTCTCAAATACCTCTTATCAAAAGCACTGTATATAGATCTGTAATGCTCAAAATTCTTAAAAGGTAGATATCAAGTCCTAGGAAGGTAGCTCAGTGGTAGAGTGCTTGCCTTGCATGCATGAGACCCTGGGTTCGATTCCTCAGCTCCACATAAGCAGAAAAAGCCGGAAGTGGCACTGTGGCTCCAGTGGTAGAGCGCTAGCCTTGAGCTGAAGAGCTCAGTGACAGTGCCCAGGCCCAGAGGTCAGGCCCCATGACCAACAAAAAACAAAAACAAAAAACCCAAAAAAGCAAAACCAAACCCCCAGCTATTTCTAGGACTGTAGACTGCTTCCCACTTCTTTTGCCTAATTATTATTAAAATTATCTTAAAAGTAGTTGCACAAGGGAGTTTATGAGTACATCTCGTTTAAAGTCACTCCTTTCATCACATAGATGGCCTTTTAATTTGATATATTCAATTCAAAATGTTACTTGCAGGCTTCCTCCACAATGAAGTTAAAGTGAATACAATGTGGAGAGGGTTTCCAAATGTGGTCACTACTGCTTTAACACTGCCCAACATTAGAAAACCTGATGGCTATGATTACTACGCCTTTTCTAAGGGTAAGTTATTAAGTAAAATCTTAGCACCTTTTCAAGTTGATCTTACTTAATAAAGTATGAGTATAATTAAAGCAAAAGCATCAAGTATAAAATGGTTACTAAAGGTGAGATGCTCAAATCTAATCACTTAACTGTAGTAAATAATTGAGTTCAATTATAATGCAATTCCACTCACATTTTCACGAGATTATAAGCATCTGATTCGTGTGGTACAGGTACTGAACACTCATCACCTGTGGTACTAATATGGTGAGAAAGACACTGCTGAGAAACTAACTTTGCTAATAAAATTAGATTACCCAGGACACATTTTTCTTTGAAAAGCCCAGAAACATAACTGAATTTGCCTGATTCTGTAATGTTAAATTAAAAAATGTATTTTTTAAAAAGGATCAATCTCAAGAAAATTGTATTTCAGAATAACTTTTTCTTAAGCATGTCAAAAAGGCAGAGAATATAATTTTCTGAAAGGTGTTGAAAGGTCAACTCATGAGGGCAATTCATTTTTTGTCAGAAAGTTCAAATGAATGAAACATTTGTGATATTAAAATGATCAACACTGAGTATGATAACACAGAATTTTTAGTTCAAATGTTTACTTTTTAATTAAAAAATTATTTTTCTTCCATTTAGACCAATACTATAACATCGATATTCCCAGTAGAACAGCAAGAGCAATTACTACTCGTTCTGGACAGACCCTCTCCAAAGTCTGGTATAACTGTCCTTAGATGGATCAACAAAAGAAGAGGTATATTCTTCAAATGAAGAGAAGAACACTAAACATCGACACAGAGAAACATTTTATTAATAAAGAATGTTGAGATAAGCAAACCAATTTAAATACAAAAATGTTTTTCAACCTGATAATTATTACACTAAAACAGATTGGACAAACTTATTCACAGGAATTATATTTTACAGATCATTTAATTAATATTTCCTCTATTTATGCCTCCTCTTCCTCCCATTGCATGGCTTACACCTGTAGAAGAAAAAGCAATTATAAAAAAAGGGAATCATTTTTGATAATAAAAAAAAATCTAAGCATTATGGAATAAAACTATTAGATTCTCCACTTGTTCAATGGAATTCATTATAACAATATTTTTATATTATGAACATAATTTAAGTGGAACATTAGCAAACAAGTACTTTTCAGGTATCTTATTTTGTACTAGCTACAACAAAGTCACAAGATATCGTTCAATCATTAAAAATATGCAACAATTTAATGTCCAGAGGCAGAGATGTTACAATGAACAAATAGCAACAATACTGGACTTTCCAGATCCCACTTGCGATTTAAGGAAGAAATATAAAAGTTAAGCTTATTTCATTATATGCCCTGAAGACATAAATCAGTGTATAATAGGCTTGATAGCAAGTATCATATGTTCGTATGTGTAACTATTTGATCCGTAGAACATTTAAAAAATAAATCGGAAGCTTAAGGATTAGAAAACACACCATTCATTTATTATTATGTCACCATACTCTATTATATCATCAGTATGTCAAAAATTTACCTCTCTGTCTGTTAAACTGACGACCACGGACACTTAATCTCAATGTTGTCTGAAGTTTTACCCGTCTGAAAGGCTTTGGCTGACTACTGCTTGTATCTAAGAAAAACATTAAGAAAAGTTAAAAAGAAGCAAATAAAAAAGCCAAGAAAGCAATTATGTGGCAAAACTAATCATTAAGTATAAGCAAAGTGAAGATCTGTCCATTTGCTCTCATAGACTCTTGCCTGGGCTGGTTTCGAACAGTGATCCTCAGATCTCAGCCTTCTGAATAGCTAGGATTATAGTGTGAGCCACTGTTGCCTGCTTCATTTGCTTTATAAAATATGAAAATTCAACCAACAAGAAAGGGTAAAAAGCAAAAACAAAGCTAAAAAAATCCATAAAAATGCTTGATCTTTTTCATTCATTACACAACTAATTTAATAAAACTGTTGGTGACTAGGCATGTACTAGACATAATACTTGGGAGAACAATGGAAAAGATGGCACATATCCCACATTAAAATACAATGTAAGTCATACCTGAGTGTTTTATGGAACACCTCAAGTCTAATCACTAGCAAATTTTGATAGCTCAAATTTAAATATATGTCTTAAATCTATTTGACCTTGCAAACCATCACTTTTATCCTGAATCACTGAAATAGCTTAAAAAATTGCTAGTTTCTGTCTACTACAGCACCTTTTATATATTACAGCTGAATCAACATGTAGTATCACTATTCTAAAGCACCTTAATAGCTTCCTATAGCCAAGAAAACAAACCTAATGCAAAGATCTATGTCCTGTTAGTCTCTGTCCTTATCTGCTCTAGCCACAGTGGCCTCCTGGGTGACTTTGAACATATCAGGTACACTAGACTGGTTTATGAACAATTAATATTCCTCTAAACAATACACAGCTTTGATATTGTTCTTTCAGTTCTTTATTTACATGTCACTTTCACGGTGACATTTTTGATGAACAGCCGGGTATACGACAGGAAATTGAAATTTGTTGACCAGATGAGTAAACTGCTCAGATGGGAAAAGAAGGGTGTATTGTTTCACATTATCAAACAAACCTAGACACTAATGAATATCTATTATAATCTTTCATGCAGTTCCATTAAGTTACTCAATATCTATTCTACTACTAAAGAAAGACAATTCTCACAGTATATCAGAATATACTGAGGAACGCAGAACCTCAGTAATTAATCATGATAACTACAATTTCTGAGCCTTCTATGTACGAAGCACTCAGTTCTACAATTTATATATATATTACTTCTAATTCGGAGTACAGGATTCGATCTCCATTTCAGAGTACAATGTGATAATATTTAAGGTTCTAAGTTGTTAGAAGGTAGAAATAGGATCTTAACCTAAAGATATTGGTCAATAGGTTTACGTTTCACGGAAAAGCAGCTGAGAGGGAAAGAATATGATCTTGGGACAGCAAAGTTACATAACTGCTGAAAAGTACTGACTTAGCAGGTTTGTCAGAAAATATGAAGGTTCCTAGTAATTTCAGACGTATTGCTACACAAGAATAAAAATGAAAACCAGAGTGGAAGATGGAGTACTAACTTCTTCAATAATAAAAGTGATGGGCTGGGAAGGTGGCTCAGTGGTAAAGCGCTTGCCTTGCATGCATGAGGCCCTGGGTTCAATTCCTCAGCACCACATAAGCAAAAAGAAAAAAAAAGCAGGAAGTGGCGCTGTGGCTCAAGTGGTAGAGCGCTGGCCTTGAGCTGAAGAGCTGAGGGACAGTGCCCAGGCCCAGAGTTCAGGCCCCACAACCGGACCCAAAAAAAAAAAAAAAAAAAAAGTGACTACCTGCTTAAAAATTTTGATAAGCTAGCATATCTTATTTAAGAGTGGAGTCTCCCTCTGTATATCACCTTTAATAATAAAAAAAATAGAGAAAGAAAACACACACAAAAACAAGAAAAAATGGAGTCTCAAGGCCAAACTTCTTGTATTTGCATCCTGTTTGTCCATTATCTATAAGCTATTGGACCTAAAAAAATTCATTCAATTTTTCTATGCCATAATTTCTACATTTGTAAAATGATGATAGCTACCATACTGGGCTCCTGTGAGATTAAATATATATATATATATATATATATATATAAAGGGCAAGGAATACTTACTGTGAAATAATGAGTATTCAATAAATGCTCATTACTATTTTATTAAATCTGAGAAGCCAAAATCAGTAACACTATATTATCAGTAAATTCTAAATTCATCTTCAAGCAACTAAGCCCCTTCCCCTTAAATCTTTATATCAGATATCGTATGGGATGGTAAAATGTATGAAAGATAAAATGCCACCACTACTCTGATTTGAAAATAGATGCTACCACTCCTTAGCATCCTTCCCAGTATGCTCATCCCCACAACCTTTATAGCATCTCCTAAGGGAGCCTATGAAGTCTATAGTACATACATTAACATCCTTTGGAAGCATAAATGAACTATTCTTTTGTGAAGGATCACTTTCTGATTATCAGTGGTAGAATATTCCTTTAATAATGAGTTAACTACAAATCATATTCCCTATAATGGTAAAATAGTATTTTAAAATCAGGAAAAAGGAATTACCCATTTATTTCTCATGAGTGTCTTTGCAAACCAGTGTGATGTATGAAAGTTGCATTGGAATAGGAACTTACCTACAGAAGAGCTAGAAGGAGGATCCTGGCTAGTAGAAGGGAGGTCTGACTCATCAGATGCCTGAACAGGTTCTTCTTCCTGCTGGCTATCAATCTCTAGGCCTGCTTCTGAACTAATACTAAGAAAATAAAAATGCATTAGAAATATGTAATTGTTCCCACAATTATCATTTAAACCTGACTTCCCTTGTAAGTAACTTTAGATACAGATACACACACACACAGACACACACAGACACACACACAGACACAGACACAGACACACACACACACACACACACACTCTGAACAAGAGGAAAAAAGCTCAAGTTGGCTTTGCCTTATTACTTTTCTCACCAGTTTTATTAGTTTTCATTTTCTCCATTGAGTTTTGGTTACCTTTTGATAAAGATGTTCACTGTCTGGACACTCATTACAACTAATTACCTAGATTTTTATTTTTTTGGTCAGTGGTGGGATTTGAACTCTGGGCCTGAACATTGTCCCTGAGCTTTTCAGCTCAAGTTGAGCACTCTACCACTTGAGCCACAGTGCTACTTCTGGTTTTCTGGTGGTTAACTGGAGAAAAGAGTATCATAGACTTTCCTGCCTGGGCTGGCTTTGAACTGCAGTCCTCAGATCTCAGTCTCCTGAGTAGCTAGGATTACAGGCATGAGCCACTGGTACCTGGTCTTTATCTAGATTTTGATAAATTCCAATATAGCTTTTTAAGAAAGCAAGAACATCCAGAATGGATGAAGTGCCAGTCAACATTGTCACTATTGGAACAGACTGAGAGGCGTGCTCTGAAACATAGGCTTATGCTTGTAATCATAGTTACTAAGGCACCTGAGATCTAAGGATTGTGCTTCAAAGACAGGCTTGGCAGGAAAGTCTGTGAGACTCTATCTCCAATTAACCACCAAGTGGAGCTATGGTTCAAGTGGTAGAGTGCCAGCCTTGAGTAAAAAAAAAAAAAAACATCTCAGGGATAGTATACAGGCTGAATTCAAGACCCAGGACAGGCACAAAGAAAACAAGAAAGCAAGAGCACTAAAATAACTCACAGTATTAACAATTACTAACATTATCAGTAATTCATCACAGGCTCCAGCCCAGGCAGGAGTTTATAAGTATGTGAAATTCCTGGTTATACAGTTGTAACTTCACCTTTCTCTCTGCTATAAAGAAGCAAATGAGGAATAAAGTACAAGAATAACAGGAATAAACATCAGTAAAGCTATTAGAAATAATAGCCTGAGAGACATCTCTGACGACTACAGACTAAAGCTGAGAGCTGCTGATAAAAAAAAGTAAAGAGCACAAGTCAGGGTTTCAACTATCCTCTGAGTATAGCCTAACTAGATTACTTTAACACATTCTGAGCTTTAGCATTTGTAAAATATGAAATGATAGTTTGCAGAGGTCTTGTGCGGGTCATAAATGAGAAATACCTGGCCCATATAAAATGTTAGATAAAACCAAGTTTTTGAGCTCTATCTAGGAAATCTGAACTCATTTCTAACTATGAAGTAGTACATTTTACAAAGAATTAGTTCCATTTAAAAGTTATTATCT